CCTACTGCCAAGTTGTGTGGGTCTGCAAGTAAGTAAGTACCCAACTTTTTGTTAATGTTAGATGGTCTACCAGTGTCTCATTTTGTACCAATCAGTAGCCAGAATCACCAGACTGTCCTGAGTTAGGCCAAGCCTAGAACAGAAGGCTACTGCTATAGTTCAAGCAAGATGTGCCTGAACTAGGGTGATGGCAATGTGAGTAAAGAGAAGAGTACAAATACAAGAGATGTTTTAGAGGTAGAAACAAGGTTTGGCAGATTAAATATATGGAGTGTGTTTGAGTGAGTTCAGAATGACACTGAGTTGTAAGCCCAGGTTGTAAACTAGAAGGATGGTGATTCTCTAAATAGTAATAAGGAAGGTCAGAAGAAAGGTGGTTTTAGAGGGAAAGAAAATGAATTGTGTTACAAGGCACAACCCATCATTGCCCCTCCTGAGTGAAAATTTAAGGAAGCCACACAAGACATTACTCTCTACTCACTGCTCTGGAACTCAGAGTCAAGGAAAGGCACATACTACAACCATGAAGTGATAGAGCACAGGGTTTTCCAATGTAATCTGCACTACTGCTGCAGTTGCCTCGGGTTACAAACTCCCTGAGGAACTGACACATCTCACAGAAGGGAAAGGTTGGAAAAGGGTTGAATGGGAGAATATTAGAGTGATGACAGGTGAACAGGGTGCTGGTGTTCTCCCACTGGCTCTCATGGGGTGGATGGAATTTGATCCATCTTCTCACTCCTGCATTTATTTGGCTGTACACCCTCTCATATCAGCCCACCACTCCTTGGGGGGTACACAATCTCACTGTGAAGACCAATGAAATTGAGGAAATGTAGAGTAACCTGCTGGTGAGGCTGAAATCCAGGATTATGACCTTGACTGCCACATCTGTATGTGACTAAGGTTAAGTGCAAATCATGGAAGCTGAAGAATCAGGAAGCAGGGTGATTTAAAATATAAACTGAAGTATTCAAGCTTAAGAGTTGGGGGATGTGGTAGAGAGGATATGGTAGGAAATGATCTCCCTGAGAAGGAAAAAGTCCTGAAAGACAGATAAGGTGATATATCGGGATGGAGTGAACCTCAAAAAGAAGTTTCCAAGTGAATGGCCAGAGAGTGGCACTAAAAAGCAATAGGCATGTCCATTCTACCTCTTGATCCAGTTAATGTTGCACGGGGAGTGTTGGGAAGGGAGGAGGGGAATGAGTCAAGTGAATGCATGACCAGAGAAGGTGGCCCAGAATAAGGCATTGATTGTGGGGGAGCCACATCTATAATAGACAGAAGACAGGAGGAGCTTAAAAGGAAATGATCTGGGGCAGCTAGGTGGTGCAGTGGCTAGAGCACCCGCCCTGGATTCAGGAGGAGCTGAGTTCAAATCTGGCCTCAGACAGCTGAGACTAGCTGCATGACCCTGAGTAAGTCACTTGACCCCAATGCCTAGCTTAAAAAAAAAAAAAAAGGAAAAGTTCTGAAATGAAGAGCAATTTGTTAACAGATTCTATAAGCCACAATGGAAGAGGAAGACAGAATTACAAAAGGTAAGGATGATATGTGGAGTGGTAGCAGGAGAAAAGGACTTCTCCCAGGCTACTTAAAATTTTTTTCAAACTACAAAAATATAAGAACAAAAGTCATTTTCTAATAGATGAATGGTTAAAGGATACAAACAGGCAGCTTCTAAAAGAAGAAATGCAAGCTCCCACAACCACATGAAGAATGGTCCAAATCACTAATAAGGGAAATGAAAATCAAAACAACTCTGAGGAAACTGAAGACCAGAGAGGTGGAACTTGCCCAAGATCCCACTATTACTACCTGGCAGAGCTGGGATATGACCTAAGATTCTCTAATGGTAAATTCAGAAGTCTTTCCAGGATACCACTCTACTTCACAAATCTTGAGCTAAAATCAAGAGGTGAACTATCAGTCTGATCTCTCATTGTCAAGCCTTGGTCTGGCCTGGGGTAACTGAATTCTCTATAAACAAAAAATAACTCACTTGCTATTAGCTGACAAAGAATCAACTACATTTCACCTTTACCAGTCTCTTCCAGTTACTATCTCAAAGCCAAGAGCTGAACAATGATGATAACTACAGTGAAGGTAGTTTTGAAAGTAATCTGTGAAGGTAGACTAAGAAGTAGGGAACAGGGAAAAGTAGAGAGCCACTGGGGTGTTACTAGGGATAGAAATCAATAGTTGAGGTCACTCCTAAGAGGGAATGATCATATCAGCTAAATGCAAGTTGACTAGTCTAGTCAAAGAGCAAAATTAACAGAAGAGAATACAAAGAAGGTCTGAAAACCCATGATATTAGTATCTAAACTTTTGTTCACTGATTTATCTAATTACCAAACAGTTTCACTATAATACAAGTCAACTATATTTTAATATTTCAAGGGTCCTAGTTTCATCAATGTTACTACTCCATCTATTCATAGAGATCTCTCTCTACTTCTCCATGACTTAGCAGAAAACTCATCAACTCGTGGTCAACCTGGTGATGAATTTCCTTGAATTTATCTAGACTTAAGGATACAACAGACCAAATCTGTTGCTTGTAATATACCTGAAACCTCTTCAGTTTGATAGTACCTATCAAAGCTTGTACTTCTAGAACGCAGAATCACCTCTAAACCATGATAAGGTGACATCAACAGTGGAGGACTTTAGTAGAATCAATCTCATCTTATTCCTTTATAATTATAAAAAGCTACAAAAGCTATTACAAACATTCACCTGTGAAATAGTATTTTCCTTATTCAATGGAAACAAATGTAGGCATATAATACAACAGAATCTATTTATATATAATATCTAACATAGATGAAAAAACACTAATAATGCTAGAGCTGGGGGGACCAAAACATCTGTATTATAAGCTTGTAATATGAAGACTTATACAACAGTAGAAAAGCAGTTAAAACACAAATGGATGTGGAATCGGAAGACCTAAGTTTCAGTTTCAAATCTACAGCTCTTGTGACCTTAAGCAAGTCATTAAAAACTTCAACGGGGATACTACTTGCACTATCTACCACACAGGAAGAGTGTGAGGGTCAAATGAGATATGTACTTAAAATGTCCTATAATCTTAATACACTACGTAAGTGTGAATTATTTTTTGGTCTGAACCTATGAGTTTTATTGGTGGAGGGCACTCCCTCTATCAAACAATTCTTCTAAAGTTCCCTAGAGTACTAAGAGATTAAGTGATTTGCAGAGGACCACAAAGTTAGTATAGGCATACCTTGTTTTACAGCACTTTGCAGATGTTGTGTTTTTTACAAATTGAAGACTTGTGGTAACCCTGCATCAAGCAAGTCTATCAGTTTCACTTTTCCAAAAGCATGTGCTCATATTGTGTCTCTGTGTCACATTTTGGAAATTCTCAAAATATTTCAAACTTTTTCATTATTATTATATCTGTTACGGTGACCTGTGATCTTTGACATTACTATTGTAATTGTTTTGGGGTGCCACAAGCCATGCCCATATAAGACAGTGAACCTGATCAATAAACGTTGTGTGTTCTGACTGCTCCACTGTCCTGCCATTCCCCTATCTCTCTCCTTCTCCTCAGGCTTCCCTATTCCCTGAGACATAATAATACTGAAATTAGGCCAGTTAATAATCCTACAATGGCCTCTAAGTGTTCAAGTAAAAAAAGAGTCAATAAATGAGGCAAACTTCATTGTCTTATTTTAAGAAATTGCCACAGCCACCCTAATCTTCAGCAACCACTACCCTGATAAATCAGCAGCCATCAACATCAAGGCAAGACCCTCCACCACTCAATGAAGGTCAGATTAGCACATTTTAACAATATTTTTTTTATTTAAGGTACGTACATTAGGATTTTTTTAGATGTAACACTATTGCACAATTAATTGACTATGGTGTCACATAAACATAATTTTTCTATGCAGTGGAAAACCAAAAAATTTGTGTGACTCGCTTTACTGTGATATTCTGGTAGTCTGGAACTGAAACCACAGTATCTCCAAGGCAAGCCTGCATCTGCACGTTAGAGGTAAGACACGAACCCAACTCTTCTGATTCTGAAATCAATTCTCTAGTCACTACTTTATTCCCCTCTCCAAACACACCAATTTTCTGGTCATTATCTTAGGAAAACAGAGAAAAATTGAGAAAAACAATGCTCTGTATGCTCACTCTCAAGTGTTAATTTGTACTATATAAATGTAAAATATTACTATTCAAGGAACATAATTTAACCTAAAGCAAAAAAGAATCTGTGTTAAAGGGGGATTTTTATAAAGAGATTTACTGTTATTGGACCTAATCTACAGAGTGATAACCACAAACTATATGTCACTGCCCATTATACTAATTTTTTCTTATATAGCATGGCAACTTGATCAAGCAAATCTTCAAAGCTCTCCTTTTTTTGTCTGCTCCCTTCACTCAGGTGCCCACTCTTTGGGTATCTATGGACAATCATCAATAACTACCCTCTCTGGCTCATCTTAGTGGCAATCACCTTGCTATCCTATCTCTTCAAACAGCCTTTTGAAATTCAACCATGCTGAATCATATCCCCTCATGTTCTCTGTGCCTTAGGTATTCATGATAATAATGAACAATTAATGATAAATTAGCATGCAATGACAGTAAAGAAGGCGGCTACCTATCTACTAAGGCCTGATTTCTCTGGCTAGGTAACATATGAGTGAGTGTAATTTTAGGAAAAATGTCCTCTGTTTAATCTAAGTGAGTGAAGGTAGTGATGGAAATTTTGGGCCAACCATAAGAGAGTGGCCCCAAATCAAAACCCTCTTTTAAGAACAGACAGGGGCATTATAGTAGCAACTAAAAAGTCATACCCTCCACAGGGCTACCTGCACATAGGACCAGTCTTGATTTTTCTATAGGTACTAAGCTACAAGAGATCTACTATTGATCAGGAATTCTATGCTACTCTATCAACATGTTAAAAATACTTTAAATGCACATGATAATTTGGATAGTACCTTATTCCATCCGCTGGCAAGAGCTGCAGTGTCCAGTGTACATTCCCGATATGCCTGATAGCTCACTGGCCTGTAGAAATTTTTTTTAAAAGTCTGAGTCAAAGAAGGAAAACTCTAAATGTTCAGATGACTATATGAATACAAACACATATGAAACATGATTCACCCTCTCTATCATTAACTAATAGAAAGAAAAAAAATCAAACCCATAATTAAAGAAAAAGTATGACTTCAAACTAACAGTTTCCATTGTTCTTCAAACATTTACTTTAGGTTAATGGAAAATATTTTGAACTAGGTAGTCACTTTTCTGGAGCAATGGCTGTATGTTCAGCTAAATTTGTACTTTGTTAGGTATTTTTTAGGTTTTCCTGAAATTAACTTAATATTCCCTATATATCACAATCTGGCTCATTATAGAACCAAAGAATAATGAGATAAAGGAAGAAAAAAAGAGTTTCATTCAGGACAGTTCTAAAAACCAATCACAATATCAATATTTAATAAATAAAGAGACACGACACCTGGTAAAACCTTTCATGTTTAAAGGAACAGATTATATTAATAAATCAAAACCTCAGCATACTAATCCCTCAAAGTCTGGAAAGAAGTTTTTCTTATTTCTATAAGACTTATAGTACTAGACCTACCAGAAATTCAAATAATTGGGTGGCAATAATAGATGATAAATTAGGTCATTTATTAATTTGCTCTAAGTTCTGAATTCTGTACCTTGGTTTCCTCATCTACGTGGTAGCCAGTTAATGCATAACAATAGCAATTCATTTAATGGAAACAATTTTTTTTAATTGGCAGGATTTAAACTTATATAATAAATGATAAAAGTATTCATTTTTTTAAGACTTGAACCTCTTCTTAAAATGTCTCTCTTGTCCATTAATGGCCTCATAAGGCAACTCAGTACAACAGAAAGTGCAGTAAACTGGGAGTCAGGAGACTTAAGTCATAGTTTCAAGCTTTGACCTTCACCACTTATAGTTATGTCACCTTGAGTAAGTCACTGAACTTCTCTGGGCTTCAATCCCTTCATTTAGAGAATGGACTCAATGACCTCTAAACTACTTTTCTGCTCTAATACTCTCTGATTCTGAATCATCAAATTTATGCTATTCAAAAAAGAAACTCGAGTCAGAAGAGAGGGGTTAAGATTTATAAAACTTTTAAAAAAAAGATTTATAAAACTTATATTACCTCAGGGATAGTATCCTCTTACTCACTAGCTCTTACTCAGCTAATTTAGAGGTGAAAGGAAGTGACAGAAAAGTAACTAGATGACTCCTCTCAGAGAATGTAATTTAACAAGAGTCTGTAGTACAGTTAGATTTTGTATACTCTCTGAAAAAATTTGGTAAAGAAGCATTTAGTTGGATAATATGATTTCTGAACACTATTTTTAAAAAGTAGTTTTGTACAGTGTTAGGTATAAATCTAAAATACCCCATATACCATAGACAATTGACTAGGAAAAAACATGTGTAACTTTTTAAAATCACATACACAAAAATTATTGTTACCTACACATGGATTTACAGATTTGTAAAGAATATGTCTAATTTCAGAAAAGAAACTAGTCATCTAAATATGTAGACTACAGAAAACTTTTTTATAGCTCATACTGTAATTTATTTTTATTTAAATAAATGCAACTGTTCCCACACGAACTTTAGCCATCATCACATTTGGTTAGGATTTAGATGCAAGAATGAACAATTCAAGTGCTCCAGAAACCCAACAAATAACCTTCACAAATTAATATCGAAGCAACATTAAAACAATATCAAAGGGAACAGTGTTTCCCAGTAATTCATTTTGAAAAGAAAACCTTATTGCCACATTCCTAACAATTAACTAATTAAGAGTTACCACAGAATTTTTAAAGGGGTAGGATTTTGTGCTAGACTCTGGTGATGTTTCAACTGGACTACTTACTACAATACATTCTGCTTCTATCTAAAATTCCCTCAGAAGATCACCTGGGGGCTTTCAATCCCTCCACTTCCTTTGCTGGACTCCTCGGTTCTGCTGCTCTTAGTGATGCTTACACGGAGCTCATTTATGCAGCTAAAGCACTTGAGGATCTTTCAGGGTGAGCATATATTTTGCTAATTACACCTACATACATAAGGACATTTAGAAGATAAGAGCTGTTTGAAACATTCAACGAAAACCTGATGCATAGCCAACCCAAAGAAGTTCACTCACCATCTCTAAATAAAATTGCTGAGACTCTGCTACAAAGTCCAGAATTAGTTTCTCAGCCTGACTTAAAGTGGTTCTGAGGACGAGGTAACACATTCAACTTCAAAACACCATAGTTGGAGATATAAATGCAGGCTTTTTGTGTTTTGATTTGCCAAAATATTATAACACAAATTTGATTAGCTTCTAAAGTGATCGTGATCAGAAAACAGTCATGACTTTTCTACAAAAGGATGGTGGAAAGTGAAACAATCTTCAGAAACCAATCAGGATTGGTTTTATTTAGACTTGATTCTGAATGAGCAATTAAAATATTCCAGTAAACACAAATAATAAGCTAACTCTTAAGAAATTGTAAGGTCATGCATCAGTAAGCACTTATTCCCACTCCATTCATTGCAAGTCAATTACATATAAGGAACTATTATCATACCTCATCAATCCAAACCCATTTTTCAAAGGTGGAAAAAAGAAATCACATTCACAAAGAAATGTGAATTGTGATATTTTACATGAGGTACAAATTTCAAAATAAATCATAGCACTTAGGACTTTCATAAAAATAAGATAAAAGGGGGGGAAAGCCATTTATTTAGGAGTAAGATTAATATATACAGAGAGAGAGAGAGAGAGAGAGAGCGCAATTACTAATAGACTAGGGAAGAAATTAAGAACACTTTGCCTAAAGAACATCTTTCTTTGGGGAGCTCAAAGCATGTTAAAAATCATTATTTAATTCTTGCTCCTAACATATCAGTGGAATCTGAGAGACATGGAAACTAAAAGAAATTAAGTGATTCACCAGTGACGACAAAGTAAAAGCTCTAAATAATCTTTGTCTTTTGTTTTTCTCTTATTTCTCTATCCCATGATTCTCCATTCAAATGTCTTTTTCCCCAACCCCCATACTTATTTGTACCTCATGTTCTTTCCACAGAATAGGATTCAAAGAAACTCAAAACAGGGTTTTCAGTAGAAAGTGATACATCAAATTCTGACTTACTCAAATCTAGAATTATCCAAGAGTAATTTGGAAGCTTACGTATATTCAATTAATCAAAATGCAGAGAAATTAATTAAGTCCACCTATAACAGCATTTAAGAAATAATAAACAATAAACTTTGTCCACCTGAATTCAAGAACTTCCTACCACACTGAGCATTTCAACTGTGGTTCTTCAAATAGACCTGTATTGTGAGCCAATATTCCTATCTATTTTCAAAAGTGCATGCATCAGCCAAATACTATTTTAAATTCATGTCATTTTCCTAATAACCTACCAATAAGTAATTAAGAGAAAAGTTTATTTAAATGAAGATTTACATCAAATAGTTTTGATATATTTTAACATACCTTCACTATTACTTTCTATTTGCCTCTACTCTTAAAAAGCCAGAAAAATGAATGGGAGAGAGCTAAGTTTCTATTAAAAAAATGTGAAAATAGTTCCATGGGCCAATGTACAATTCTAAGTTTAGCAACACTTGGGAGTCCTTAAATAAGAGATAATATTAATCCTATGTTACAACACAATATCCAAACCTGAGTGTTTAGGTATAGGCCTGTGCAGTAGTGGAAGTTGGAGATTTATAATTAAATGAGTCATTCCTAAACATCCAGGATATGTATTTGTTGTTATTGACACAACAAATAAATAAATAAGAAGGTGCCATTACTAGGCTGTTTATCTGAAACAATGTCTGCCATCTGAACATAAAGGGTATATTATATCTGTGGAAGATTTTTTTTTAAAGTGTTAAGGGTGGCAAAATAAATGATATGGTTCCCATAAAAGCAAAGCCTCAGTCAATCCATTCTTAAGAGAAGGATGGGCACTGAGGGGAAGCACACTCTGACTTGGCAATGGTGACTCACTGGCTGAGCAGAGTCTGCAATGCTTCGTGCATGCGTTCTTTCAGTTCCAGTGACACCTTCTGTCCAAGATGGGCCAAGCAGTCTTCTATTGAGCTCTCTGGGTTAACAGGGCTGAATACCGGAGACGTGTGGCAGTCAAAGCCTGTGCTGGTGAAAGCTGAAGAATCAGATCAAAAGAAAAATCCAACTTAAATGACATCTACAGGTATATATATAATGCAAGTCCACTCCCAAGAATATATCATTAGGTGTGGCAAAATAAAAAACAGATAACATTGTGACTGTTCAAAATATATGGAATGATAAAGACACTGATCAGTCAAATACCTTAGCTTAATTATCAGGGACAGGTCAATGAACTTGGTTTTAGAAGACTAAACAAGAAGGCTATACTGCTATAAAACTGGAAGGGACAAGGCTTCATCTTCATTCCTTAGAGACATATCCAGTGCTTCTGCATCCTCACAGCAAAGACAACATGTGGTTTTGTTTTACAGTTAACTCCTGGCTCTATCATACCTTGTCCTCTGTTTGCTTTGTTGTTGTTTTTTTTCCATAGTACTGATTTTAGGCTTGATCCTACACGGTCATAAGAGATGGAAGTAGAGCTTGACTGAACATCCTGGGAATCCCCACTCCAGAACTTACTCATTCATGACCTCAGGTAAGTCATCAATCCTCCCTGAGCCTAGTTCTTCACATGTAAAATAGAAATCATAACTGTGCTGGTTCCGAAGAAAACACTTGGTAATCTGAAAGTACTACATAAGTAGGAGACATTATTTTCTATATATACTAATAGCAGCTCATCAAAAATACCATCTTTTTCCCAATTACATTGGATTTCTGATTAAGGAATGATCCAGTTGGTGGATTATCTACCTAGGCCTTTTGTTTTCTTTCTTCTGCCTCTGAACTATCTCATCGCTTAGAAGAGTCACACTGGAGGCTGAAAAACAAAGAGGTCTGGAAGCACCAATCTTTAAGACCTGAATTCTGGCCAAACTGGTCTACGTTTGCACGCCTTTGCCCAGGCTGCCCACATGACTGGAACCAGTTTCCTTTAGGATTCAGGTCTGATGCCACATCCTAAAAAAAGCCTTTCTCAAGCCTCCTAATTTTTAGAGATCTCTCTTGTAGTTATTTTTATATTTACTTATCTGCCCCTATATTTTATCTCTAAGTAGACAGTTGGGCTTATTTTTTTTACTTTTATCTTTGTATCCCCAGAGCCTTGCAGGGCCCTGCACATAGTAGGTACTTAATAATTGTTTGTTAAATCAAATTAAATATGAAATGTCTGGGAAGTCAAAGCTACAGTAACCTTTTTAATTTTTACTAATTATCCTTTCCAGCTAGCATAAATAATTAAGAATTTAGATTTTTTTGTATGTATTAAAAATCTAAGAGTAGACACCAGGTGACAACTATAGATCAGGGATGGAAAGAGAACAGAATTAGCAATGAATGGGAGCTTGCAAAGAAGCAAATTTCGGCTTCATGTCAGAAAAAAAGCTTCCTAATAACTGGAGCTATCCAAAAGTGAAATGACTTGCCTTGAGAGATAATGGGTTTGGGGACAGCGAGGCGGCACAGTGAACAGAGTTCAAATCCAACTTCAGACACTTAACACTTAACTAGCTGTGTGACCCTGGGCAAGTCACTTAACCCCAATTGCCTCACCAAAAAAAAAAAAAGGCAAAGAGATAATGAGTTCCCTTCCTTGGAAGTCTTCAAGCAGAGACTGAACAACCAACAGCTTGTTAGGTACATTATAATGGGGATTCATTCATGTATAATTTGGGTTAGATGGCTAACTCTCAAATTCTGTGATTTTGTAATTATGATTAAGTGGTGCTTTAATTCATGACCTACTACTATCAGAGGAAATTATTGACAGATCATTTAATAGGATTAGTATTCTATTTCAAAAGTTATAAAAATGTATGATTCCCCTTTTTTTATCTGTTCAGTTTAACTTGTTTATTGGTTAGAAAAAAGCTATATGACCTGCTAAAACTAAAGATGTATCTTAGCTAAGGAATGTCTTGTGAATGAGTATGTGATGATCTATGCATCTTTAATAAATTCAACCAGACAGAACTCTGTTCAATGACTCTGTGATAAAAGGTCTTCAACCAAAGATCTGTTGTCTAGACATGTTGTAGAGGGATTCTCAAATGAATAAGTAACATGATACTTTCCAAACTCTGAGGTTTTGTGATTTGGAAGATGTTCTAGAAGAAAACAAAAAGCCCTCTACCACTGAAATATTTACTACTTTATGTGAACATAGTATTCTAAAAATATAATAGAACAAATCCTGAGAATTTTCAAACAAACCAAAACTGAAACATAGCTAGAATAAGATGAACAAACAAACCTCCAGAAATTTCTTCATTCAGAGACCTCAGCTCTTCTTCAATTTCAGTCTTAACTTTCAATAGAAGCTCTTGGTCCAAGAGTTGTAAAGATGTAGATGGCTGGACCCCTAAAATAAATCAGAAAGCTTAACACACATATAAAGAGAAAGCCACAGCAGGAGAAAGATAAAAGACAAGCATCAAAAACAACATGCGAAAAATTAATATAGCATTAACCACTGGAAAAAATGTTAATTCAAGGCCCTTGTTTAGAAGTTGGGCCCATTTGGCCCTGTTAGGAAGACACTTGTTGAAAGTATCTGGGCCCAATGATTAAAGTTCAGTGGGAATTTAAGGGAATTAAACAAAAAGAAAACTGACTTGAGGTTCCCTTGTCCTAGATATTTCTGCTAGAGAGGGAGAAATAAGAGCATAACATTCAAGAACCAACCTTTGGAAATTTCTATGCCCTTAATCCTGTAATTCAGAGTCCATTCTGCCAAGATGAAAACTTCCTTCTCCACTGTTGCCTTTCTCCCCATTCTTTTATCCCTCTCTAGCTCAGTTATACCTTATTAACAAAATCTTTTGTTGTACAGTTGTTTTCTGTTGTGTCCAACTCTGTGACCCCATTTAGGGTTTTCTTAGTCTGCCATTTCCTTCTCCAGTTCATTATACAGATGAGGAAACTGAGGCAAACAGAGTTGAGTGACTTGCCCTGGGTCACACAGCTAGCAAGTATCTGAAGCCAGATTTGAACTAAGTTAGATGAATCTTTTTGACTCCAGGCTTGGCACTCTATCCACTGTACCCCTCTAGCTGCCCTTAACAAAATCTACTTCATCCTCATTAAACCTCATTCTCTCACTACTTCCATCTTTTGGAGCTCACCTAAATAAGACTCTTTCTTGAAAACATGTTAACCATTGCCACTCTTCAGTGCTAGACACTCATCCCATAGCACAGGGCCAAAAAGAATCATGCACATACTCTGTCTCCCTATTGTCACGTCTAGATGCTGCCTCTCTTCCACTCTTATTCAGCAACTCTTCCTCCCATGAAATTCATTTTCTATCCATGACACCTGGTCAGGATTCTTGTGGTAGTCATTTATTCACTGTCAAGTCATTCTCCCTCCTTTCTCAAGTTCAGTATTAGGCTTATAGCCTTCATCTTCATCCTAACTAATCTCTGGCTTCATGGTGGATAATTACAATATTTATACTGATGATCCAACACCTTAAACATCCTTAATTTCCACTCTCATGACCTCCATTTGTATTATCACTTTACTTCAGCAACCCAGAGAGGTATTTGCATGTTAGATCTAACTAGCACTCTAAATTATTAAATTTTTGTGACTTTAAACTCTGAAATAATAATCATTTCTTTCACCTCTCTCTACGAATCACTTTTTTTTTTTTGGCGAGGCAACTGGGGTTAAGTGACTTGCCCAAAGTCACACTGCTAGTAAGCATTGTGTCTGAGGCCAGATGTGAACTCAGGTTCTCCTGACTCAAGGGCCGGTGCTCTATCCACTGCGCCACCTAGCTGCCCCTACCAATCACTTCTAAGCCTATTCTTTGTACTTACTATGGCTTCCTGTTCCATCATGTTCTCCTACTCTATTACACATATATTGTCCTGACCCAAAGGGTGACCAATTTAACTATGTACACTGCCTTCACCCTTGAAACCCCTGTCCTTTTATTCTTTCAACATTCACACTCTGCTAATACTTAACCCCTAGTCATCTTCCACCATATATTCTAACTCCCTAGATGCTGAATACTACTGAATTCATGCAACCACTCCTACTGGGTCCATTACAAATTTACATTAATTTAACAAGGTAGCAACAAAATTGACGTGTTTGTGTCCTCTTGTGAACTTGTTTCCTTCCGCATACTTTAAAATAATTTTTTTACTAGATTTGTATTCTTTCTTGACCACCTATCAAGCAAGCTCTCCCCAGTACTAACTGAAAACTTTCTCTCCTCAAGCTCCCAATGTCACCCCAAACATGTCTCAGATGATCTCAACTCCTACTTTATTTTTTTCCACTTAATAGTATTTAGTTTTTTCCAATTACATGCAAAGACAGTTTTCAATATTCACTTTTACAAGATTTTGAGTTCCAAATTTTTTTCTCCCTCCATTCCCTCTGTCTTCCCTAAAACACACAATCTTATATAGGCTATACATGTACAATCATATTAAACATATTTCTACATTAGTCATATTGTGAAAGAAGAATCAGAACAAAAGTAAAAAACCACAAGAAAGAAAAAAAAATAGTATGCTTCAATCTGCATTTGGACTCCTTAGTTCATTCTCTGGAAGTGGACAGCATTTCCCATCATGATTCCCTTGGAATTGTCTTAGGTCATTGTACTGCTGAGAACAGCTAAGTCTATCAAAGGGTTCTGCTCACTTCACTCAGCATCAGACCATATAAGTCTTTCCAGGTTTTTCTGAAGTCAGCCTGTTCATCATTTCTTATAGCACAATAGTATTCCATTACATTCATATACCACAACTTGTTCAGCCATTTCCCAATTGATGGGCATCCCCTCAATTTCCACAATTTCTTTGCCACCACAAAAAGAGCTGCTGTAAATATTTTTGTAAGTGTGGGTCCTTTTCCCTTTTTTATGATCTCTTTGGGATACAAATCTAGCAGTGGTATTGCTGGATCAAAGGGTATGCACAGTTGTATAGCTCTTTGGGCATATCCTACTTTATTGAGAAAATATAAGCTCTCATAAATTCTGTCACCTATTTCAAACCAAAAAACCTCTATACCTTTACCTATCTCCTCCTCTACTCCATTTTCCGAGAAATAAGGGTCATTCTCCTTTCCAACGCTAACCCCTCTAAACTTGACCTTATCTCCAACTCCTAACTCCTTCATGAATCTGTCCAATCAATCATTTTTCCTACTCTGCTAACATAGCTCTATCTGCTGGCTCCTCCATAATCTACAAATGTGCTCTGAACATGCACCCAAATTAAAAAACCTTTCCTTTACATTGTCATCCTCACAAGAAACTTCTACTCTTCTTTACTGGTAAGCTTCTAGAAAGAATTATTTATATTCTCTGCCTCCACACTTCCTCACCATCCAATGAAATCTTAATCCCTAGTAATTCTGACTTTTAAACTCAACTCTACTGGAACAGCTCTCTCCAAAGCTGTTACTCTCTTAAACTGCTAAATCTAAACGGCCTTGTCTTTGACTTCTTTGCAATGTTGGACATCGGTGAATATGTTCTCCTAGACTATTTTCTATTAGCTTCTAAGACAATGCTTCATCCTAGTTTTCTTCCAACTCACTTCCTCCTTCTGCTCCTCCACTTCATAGAACCCCTTTCTCCCTTTTTTTCCTTTTTTTTACAATCTCCAAAATAATTTTTATTGTTTGGATTCTGTACTTTAATTTTCCTTCTCTTGTAGTCTTGGTACCCCGGAGTCGACCAGTACGCTGGCCAGGGATGAGACCAACCTTTCGTCCAGCTGGGGCATCTCTTCGAATGGTGGAAGGTTTTCCAATATGCTGGTGATTACCTTCTCCGAAGAGATGTTCCACAGGATTCATGGCCACTCCCCAGACATGAGGCCAGCAGTTTCTCTTGGCCTTGTATTTGTGGTAGGCACGACCTGCCTTAAAGATGGGCTTATCAATATGACCTCCTCCAGCAACAACACCAACCACAGCTGTTTGCAGAGGAGATCACTTTCTTAGAGCCTGAAGGTAGCTTCACCCGTGTTTTCTTGGTTTCAGGATTGTGGGAAATCACTGTGGCATCATTTCCAGACGCACGAGTAAGCCTGCCCCGTTCCCCAGGCTTTTCTTCAAGACAGCATACTATGGTCCCTTCAGGCATAGTGCCAACCGGGAGGACATTGCCAATGTTGAGCTGGGCTTTCTTACCACAGTACACAAACTGGCCAGTATGGATGCCTTCAGCAGCAATGAACAACTCTGTCCTCTTTTTAAATCGGTAAGGATCCTGAAAAGCTACTTTTGCAAGAGGGGTCCCTCAGCCTGGATCATGGATTATGTCCTTTACGATACCCTTAGTGTAGCCATGCCTCTCGGCAAAGTCGACAGCCTGGAGCTTGGCAGCCCCTTTCCTGTGCTTCCGTGAGTGTGGAAGACGGAGCCTGCACCCTTCCTCTGACCACAGATCACTCGGCCCATCTCACACGATCTGGCTCTGGACTTGCTAGAAAGAACCCTTTCTCCCTTTAAGATGCAGCATGAACACCAACTTCTAAATAAAGCCTTTCTTAATCACCTCAACTGCTAGTGCTCTCACTCCTAAACCACCTTATAGTTAATACTTTGGATTTATTTAATGTATTCTGCATATACTTATATATAATTACCTGCTATCTTTCCCATTTGAATATGTATGTAAGTCCCTTGCATGTTTCATTGCATTTAGAGTTTCATTCACTGTATTTGTAACCCCAGCAGCTAGTAGAGTGCCTGGCACATGGGAGATGTTAATGAATACTTGCTGACTGATTGATATGTGTCTGAAAGATCTTTCTCAATTTCCTTTGTTTATCTTCAATCTCCTGTTGCTTAAGGACAGTTAATCTGCCAACGCTCTGTCCAGGGCCCTCTTCTAGTTCTATATTCTCTCCCCTGGTGACATCACCCACTCTCCTGGAAATAATTATTCCTTCTCTATGGGTGACATCCATTCTCTCTGTCTCTCTCTCTCTCTCTCTCTCACACACACACACACACACACACACACACCCTAATCTCCCCCCAAATGCCACATCTTCAATTGCTGGCTGGTCATCTCCATATCTATGTCCCTAAGCCTAAATTACTTCCTCTAAGCTTCCCTATTTTTAATTGCAAATATGATAGTTGTCTTCCTTTCCTCCCCACGACTTTGCTTTATTAATTCTCCATAACATCTCCTATAACTTACTACTTATGCTATATATGCATATATATTACATACATGTATTATAGAAATATCAGTTATTTTCTTTCTCTCTAAACTACTCAAATACAGATTCTCATTAGCTTTCCTCTGGACTACTGTAACAGCCTTTTAATTAATTTTTCTTCTACTTTCTCCCCTTCTCCAATACAACATTA